ACGTTATATATATATATATATATATATAGGCAAATACTTTTTATAATATTTACGCAGTATATATCTAAAATGTTCGCATGATGATTCAATATTGACTATTGACGTTGACACAGATATCCAAGCTTTTTCCATATGACCAAACACCACAGCTGCGTTAATGGTCTTCTGCCAAGTTGCACGGGTACTCTCAGACGTCGAAGACGAGAAATCCCATGAGGAGGAGACCTGCGACTGTCAATGAGATAACAGTGATAGTCCTCGGCATCCTCCCTCCATCGCTTCTCAGAAACATGGCCCCGTAGATCGGCCAGCAGTTGGCGGCGACGAATCCCGACAAGAACAGCTGCGCAAACTGTTCATGGAGGAACCCCTCCGTCGTCGCAGCTCTCGCGATCCCTACGACCAAGGAGCTCAGGTTCACGACGGCCACGGTGCCCAGTGCCACGAAGAACGGCGACTGCACTCCGAGGTCGAAGGCTCCCCTCTCGTACCGCTCACACTGCTCGTCCTCCATCACTTTGCTGGTCACGTTGAACTCGGCCGCTGATATCCCAATCTTCTTCAGCGCGAATTGGATGGAACCGAAGAGATAAGCTGTGACGCCTTTGATCATCCACATCCGCTGGTCACTCCACCACCTCCCGATGGTCCCATCGTCCGCAAGGAACTCGACGAGGTCTTGGCCATAGGCTGCAGTGAAGAGGTAGACGTACAAGTAGAACCATGGGTCGGAGACCTGAAACAACACCCAGCATGAAGCCATCACCATGAAGTAAGGAGGGCGAGAGAGAGTGCGCGTGTGCATACCTTGGGAAAGAGGGGCGTCTGACAGATGAGAGCCAGTTGTGGAAGAAGACCGTACGTCGTGACGGGAATGCACCAAATGCCCCAAAAGGCATCATATGCGTAGCCTAAGCCGGCAAGCAAGGAGGCGTTGGTGGTACCGAAGGTGAGGGGGCTGTACCTCGAGAAGCCGACCTCCAAGAGCCCCACGCACCATCTCTTGCACTGCCCAAGCACGTCGTTCAGGCTCTTCGGCGCGTCGCCGAGGAATGCCGGCCTCACGGGGTTGCAGAAGACACTCCTCCATCCTTCACAGTGAAGGCGAAAGCTCGTGTAGTAATCCTCAACCAGCGACCCGTAGCGGAAGCCCATCTGCAGCATCACAGACACATATCAGCACAACACTCCGGCGAACTCTCCGTTAGGAGTACTCCTAAGCAACAGCATCTGCTCTGTTACCACTGAGCCCCATTTCGTGCCGAGCTCATACGTGCAACCAGCGACTTCATGAGCTTTTCTCAGAACAGATTCCGACGACGACGGAACACGGGCTTCTTGAGCCAGCGATGGCGATGAAGGGATGCCCTGCAGACAGCGACGCGAGATGAAGCAGCCGGAGCCGAAATAGCTGGGTCCTAAGATCCCGTCTTTTCCCCTCGCGGTGATCGTGTACAGCCGCTTTATCTCGCCTCCATAGATGTCGTTCTTGTTGATCCCGTAAAAGCGCTGCGGGAACTGGACGAAGGCAAGGTTGGAGGACAAGGCAGGGTCAAGAAGGTAGCAGAGCGCGCGGAGAGGAGACCGGGGGTCGCTGCAGTAGGTGTCGCAGTCCAAGGTGAGGATCACCGGGGCATGGCTCATGGTGCTCGACACACGCAACTGCAGCGCACGAATCAACAAGAAAATGATCAACGTAGAACCGTGATACATAGATCCTTTGGATGCGCCAGACGTACCAGAGCATTGAGAGCCCCTGCTTTGAAGTGATGATGAGAGGTTCGGCGTTTCTCTCTGGAAACATAGATGAGGTTCGGCAATGCGTTTCCGGAGATGTCTGAATCCTTACTCCCCTCAAGCAAAACCTGTAGAAGACAACAAGAGATAAGTTGGATGCTTCGATGCACGATGAACAGCAGCATCTACTTCGAGGAGATGGCCACAAATCTCAATTTTGTTTGTCTGTAGTAAAAGAAGACCTGGATGACAGAAGGATGGTCATGGCGGGTGAATCCTTTCCACCTTTCGAAAAGCTCGTCATCTTCTCCGGAGGAGAGCAGATCATTGCTCACATAGCCTCTCTCCAGTGCCGTTTCTACTTTCTCTTTCATTGTCAGATACATCATCTGCGGCATTCAAGAACCCATAGAATCACTTTGTTCGATCATTATAAACAAGAATATTCTATTCATGATTCAATGGGCTGTAGAGGAGCATATAGTATCAGCAATTATTGACGCCCCATAAGCAAGCGAGAGGACTTCCACTTGCTCTGATGTTACCTGTCGCCAGAGGTGTCTGTCAAACGTTGAATTATTGATGATTTACCAAGTGATGCCAAATGATTGCTCCTTTCTCAGGGCACCAAATTGGCCCTCAAGATTGATTGCAGCGGAAAGAAATAATGCGGCAATGCATATATTTGATGCAGCAGAAGAAAGGACGGAAACTAATCGTCTCATCTACAGCACTATGGAAGAAGCTATACTATCCGACAAAGAACGCACCTTTGATGGATCTGAAGAAGATAATAATTATAATAATTATTATTATTATTATATTACCTTCATCTTCTCCGAGTCTCCACCCTTGTTGGATCTGAAGTAAGCGTCCGGTGACCTCTCGAGGAGGCCGTTCTGCTTGCAGAAGGGCAGCCAGTGCCTGGCAAACCTGGCCGCCTCCATGAACGCGAAGAGAGTGACGGCGGAGCCGCCGTCGTCGGACACGTAGATGGAGAGGCGGTCGGTGGGGTAGTCGAAGGACATCGCCGAGAGAGCGGTGCCCACGACGCTGATGGGCGGCTCCTTGTGCGGGTCAGCGGTGCAGATGAACACGTCGAGAGCCGGCAAGCCGTCGGAGCCGACCTCCCGGAGAAGCCGGTCGGGGAACTCCTGGCGGCTCACGGGGCGCCACCGGAAGACCTGGGAGGCGACCCACATGACGGCGAGGACCAGATCGGCGAGGAAGAGGGCGGAGAGGGGGAGGGAAGGGGAGGAGATGAGGCAGGCGAGGCGGTGGCGGAGGAGGGCGAGGATGGCGAGGGCGTAGAGGAACGCATGGGCGCGGTTGAAGGCAACGAAGGAGCTCACTCGCAGAGCGTGGAAAGTTTTCGCCGTCATCTTCTTCTCTACCCCCACTCGAACCCACACCGAGATGGATATATGCATACGTTAAATTAATTTAGAAGAAATTCGAAATTTGGATCACAAAAATACAATTTTGTACACGAAAAATGTGAGGATGAGTCGAAATTGGTCATAGAGACAAAACTGGGGAGTAGGCAAGCGAGTTCTAAGTAAGTTGGGGTTTGGTGTAGAATCTAACTGGAATCCATGACGTGTTTGGATCCCACTGGTGATCCAATCGAATCGACGGACCCAACCAATAAACGAGCAACGGACATATATAATTGGGGAGTAGGCAAGCGAGCTCTAAGTTGGGTTTGGTTTAGAATCTAATTGGAATCCATGACATGTTTGGATCCCACTGGTGATCCAATCGAATCGACGGACCCACCCAATAATCGAGCAATTAAAATTGCACGGACGTATAGAAAATGGAGTGTTCGACACGTCAAGGATGACACAGACGCTGAGCGACGTGCACCACCGATTCGATTTGCGGTGGGCCCCACATTGATCGATCGACGTGACGTATAGTCGAGAGACAACGATGGGTATGTGTGTTTTGAGTCGAAGGTGACGTCCGAAGCCTGTCATTGGCGTTGATGAGCCATTTGACATCCATTAGCGTTCATATTATTTCACTACATTATAAATTTTTTTATTGTATTAAATGATATACATAACATCACACTCAGATATGTTTCAATAGAGATTTTGACATCCAAATCACCGAAAAATCTAAGAATAAAAAGTTAAAATGATTTATAAATAGTGAAGAAAATATTTTTCTCTCAGATATCATACGAACTAGGCACATTTGATTGACTAGAATCTTCCTGCAGAGTTTTGATTGAGCGAAAATATTCATAAAAAATAATACTTCAACATGTGATATTTAAATCTGCGTAAATTTTAATACATTAATGAGATTTTTTAATATTTATATTCTCGAACTTAAATTTATATTGAAATATTTAGTTGTCCAACGGGTTACTCAACAATTGTATGATCTTTTTCATGTGATCACTTCGAACTCCACCATTATATCCTCCCTAGAGATAGAGAGATGCAATACCTCAATATCTTCCTCATCTTTGTCGCCCACTCCTCCTTGGCTTGTCCTTTGGACTATCGATACTTTTAGTCGTCAGCGTGGCTCGTCGAAGTGACAGGACTCGACCTCATCATCATTGTGATCATCTTCTCCAACGAGTCTATTTTTGACATCCTCATTCCTACCGTAGCCTCCTACAACATCATCGTGGCCACTACAATGCAACAAGAGCCTTAACCTTGAGCGTTATGCCCAGCACCACCTTCCATTTTTTTTCTTGATTGCAACATAAGAGGATGGAAGGCAACGAAGGAGCCACAAGCAGAAGTGCCACTTGAGAATGATGAGAAGAATGAATATGAAGGGCACTTAGTTAATGGCGTACCTGAGACTACGATACTTGTTTTTTTTATTTATCCATGCTAATTTCGAAGGAGATCATGCAAATACTGAGTGACGTCGCTATGCATTTGCGTTGGTGTCGATGTAGATATGAGTAGCAAAAGAGTCGCTTGACAATTACGTCAGTATGAATGCAGATAGAGTGTCATTCACCTCTTATCGTCGTTTTTTTTATCCACAACAACCACCCGTAATCCCTGGTGGTATTACAATCTGTCACCACTAATTAAAATATTAAAATTATTATTATTTTATTATTTTTATACTTTAATCGATAAAATCAATGATATTCTAATAAATAAAACTAGATGTTTCACTTTTATAACTATAAAAATTTTAATATA